TGTATATATATATATATATGCGTGTGTGTGTTTGTGTGTATATAAATATATATACATATATGTGTTTCTGTGTCTGTCTGTGTCTGTGTCTATATATATATATATATATATATATATGTATATATATATATATCTGTGTCTGTGTCTGTGTCTTTGTTTCTGTATGTGTATTGGAACGTAGTTACTACAATGGAGGAAAGATTACAGGCGTTTTCTGGGTATTTTGAAATATCTAGTAGCTATGTGTTCTGACTTGTTACATTAAGTATTGTTTTCTACAACCTGATATTAATCTTACAGAACCTAGAAGTGTACACGATGCATTAGGGGCAAAGTCTCCAATTTTGTCCTCAGTGTTGACGCATTGGGATTGTTGGGAAATTATTCCATGTCTGTTTGCTTCAGAAATAGTGTTGGTTTTCTATTCATTGGTGTAAAGCTTGCTTAATATCGCTGACCAGACTTCAAAGTTAGTCACTGTCGACTCGTGGCGATGGGGTAGGGTTTGCATAGCTATACACACGCTAAGATTGTATCGTATGCATTGAACCTGTCGTAGTACTTCCCATTCGAAGCCCTGCTGCGTGCATGTTTGTTATGTATACATATACTGAACACACATATCCGCATGTGTATCAATTACGCCAACACTAACATTGTCCAAAGTTTGACCACTGTATCGTACTTGAGACTAGTTACGCTATTCTGTCGTGCTCACGGGTGTTCTTTTGTTGTGTATTGGGGTTGTAGGTTACTAAGTTAGTGGGTGATCTAGTGGCCGGTGGCGTCATCTCAAGTGATGTGGTGGAGGAAATTGCGCGAGAGCAACAGACATTCTCACGGTACGTCTCATGCCACTTACACGCATGTATTTACACGCATGTATGCTATGCCACTTACACGCATGTATGCTATTCGTAGGCATATCATGTGGCTATGAATGGTACACGCATGTATGTGTGTGTGTGCGTGGGCTTGTTTGTTAGGCATATCATATGGCTATGAATGGTACACGTAGTAAGTGTGTAGCATACAAGCTGATTGCGTTAAAGACGCACATGGTTTTCGACTCATATTTTGTCGAGTGTATTTTTGTTCCCACGCGATGTTTATTGTAACTGTCCTATTCTGTACCCCACCCTCCCGTTCTGGTCGCTGTGTCATTGTTGTCCAACGCACTTCCTATGTAAACTAGTTAGGAAACTGTGTCAATGTAGTCGGATGTGTACTATATCATTGGGAGTAGTCTTCCAGACTATAGTCAAAGAACCTCAATTCTGATGTAGACCTAAGTATGAGAGAATATACATAATACATATACGAGATATGCGCAAATGTATGAGACAATATATATGATATGTATATACGTACGAGAGGATATATATAACACATAGATACGCAAATGTATAGGTGAATATATATAATACGCATACGCAAATGCAGAAGAGAATATGTATGATACATAAACACACAAATGTTGATATAGCCGTTAATTGAAGGTAGGGCGCATGTTTTCCTACCGTAAGGGTTTAATATTAAGTACCCATGTAATTCGGATGGCAGGCATTCGTCATTGGGTACCCTTTTTCAGTGTTGTTGCATTTTTCTTTTATCGCGGGCATATAAACACGCACTCTTCTCCACACAATGTCCGTTCAGGTACAACAAGGCACCGCGGAAACCCGCCAACTGGTACTACATCGACTACGAGAAGATGGTCAACATGGCCAAATGGAAAGTGGATCGTGTAGGTAAAATGCTCGAAACAAAGGCCAATACCCGCAAGGACAACCAGGGCTACCATTGCCCCGCGTGCGACATGAAGTACTCAGCCCTGGATGTGGGTGAACTCATGGACTTCAACAATCCAGGCCAACTCACCTGCACCCGTAAGTGGGACCGGTTGGGCGGGAGTTGGCCTGTTCTCTGCAATGTGTGGGTTTGGCCTGTGTCAGTACTGGTGCCCGTGTGTCAGTGAGTGATGCATTAGTTGTGTTCGATGTGTCGAGATGGAGGTGGGTTTCACATGCACTTCCACGACTGACTGACATTGACAGGTTGAGCAATTACATCATTACACTCTATCATAGGTAGCTATGCTCGAAGTGTGGCAGGGGGTAGTGCTTTGTTTGGGCACTTCTCCGGGGTGTGTGTGTTGAGCGTTTGAGAAGTGTCGTTCGTATTGGTAGGCGGAGTTTGAATCCAGTTGTGCACAGTGTACCCTATCTTCTTGTCCTGCTGGCACCCTACTAAGTTTATTTAAGTGTAGGACCGACTCAAGTCACTACAGTGGTTATGATTTGCACCGAAAATCAGCCCAAGTTTCCGTACTCTTCTGGGGGTCGTAGTCTTGGACTACTTTCTTTCTGCTCGTGCGTACGTCGAGTGCAACAATCAAATGTACAATTTGCAATTAGAACAGGCCGGGTCGTTGTATTTAAGTCATGTTTCACGCAAACGTGTTGTCTTGTGTAGTGCATGGGGTATGCATCCTGTGCGTTGTGTTCATTGGCCCATAGGTTGTGTATATGGGTCTACCATCATAAGCACCCTTGAATATGCACCGTGGATCAGACTAAGTTATTTCTCATGCAAACATGTTCACTTCTGTATTTATTTCTCATCCAAACATGTTCTCCTGTGTACTTCATCGGTTGTGTTCGTTCACTATCATATGTACCGTTGATTGAACACTATACTTCTCTCCCCCCTCTCGCCCGCATTGGGCTGCGACTCATCGCTCGTATGCGCACGCCAAAGGGTGCAAGGGTGAAGTGGAGGAGGCAGAGGTCAAACAGGATGCCGATGAAGGAGCCATCTCTCGCTTCAACAAACAGATCAGCAAACTCACCGACTGTCTCAGCGAGTGTGATAAGGTGCGCTTCCTCATCCATGACTACACTGTGATCAGTGCGCTCTGAGTGAGTGACGGACGTTTGCTACACGGAGTGTGTGATTGTGTTTACGCAGTAGGTGGATGCGTGTGTGTGCTTGTGGACGCAGTACGTGGATGTGCTTAGTGAGTATTTCTGAATGCAGCTTTACTCGCGCGTCGGGGATTACTTGCTGGTTTCTGGGTATATATCTGTCGTCACTTAGAAGGTCATACTAGCTGCCTAGTTAATTCAATATGCGGCAATGTTGCGTATAAGAGATGTTGCTGTTTTCACTTAATGTGTGAACTGCTCAAGCTCCCTATTGTTCAGCCCATTGGCAAGGCCAGCAGTCTTTATAACAAGTATATATATATATATAGTCTTACAGGCACACTACTGAGGGGTCACTCTTCTTCCGCAGTACCATGACATGTGGGCTACACCTTCCAACACCTTTAACCCTATATACATCTTCCTCCATAACCCCCTCACAACACTTTCTCTGTACAAGCCTTGACGTACAAATAGCATTAACCAAGCCAATGGCACTTACTTCATCGCTTATTTGGCGTCGGCGCTGACCCGATTGCAGGCGACTATTCCGGACAAACGAATGCAAGTGCGAGCATCGCGTATGGCCTTCGCCGCAAGTATGTGCCCACTGTAGCATTGCACGGCACTGGGTTGAGTTGTAACATTACATGATACTATATTGAGTTGTAACATTGCATGGTACTGGGTTGTAACATTGCATGGTACTATGTTGAGCTGTATGTGCCCACTGTAACATTGCATGGTACTATGTTGAGTTGTAACAGCATGGTACTATGTTGAGTTGTAACAGCATGGTACTATGTTGAGGTGTATGTGCCCACTGTTACATTGCATGGTACTATGTTGAGTTGTAACATTGCATGGTACTATGTTGAGTTGTATGTGCTCACTGTAACAAAACCCTAAAACATTGCATGGTACTGGTTTGAGTTGTAACATTACATCGTACTGGTTTGAGTTGTAACATTGCATGGTACTGGTTTGAGTTATTTGTGCCCACTCTAACATTGCATGCTACTGGGTTGAGTTGTATCATTGCATGGTACTGTGTTGAGTTTTAACATTGTATGGTACTATGTTGAATTGTAACATTGCATGCTACTGGGTTGAGCTGTAACATTGCATGCTACTGGGTTGAGTTGTATCATTGCATGGTACTGTGTTGAGTTTTAACATTGCATGGTACTATGTTGAATTGTAACATTGCATGCTACTGGGTTGAGTTGTAACATTGCATGCTACTGGGTTGAGTTGTAACATTGCAT